CCCCCACCCCCATTGCGATTTTCTTGTGGTGTATTGGAGCCAAACAATTATGCCCAGGTCTCATATTTTCAAGGGCCACTAGGTGTGCGCTGGGAAAAGCGGCCAAGACCCCCTCTCCCTCAGGTATGGGGACCCGGGGCCTGTGGCGTCACTTACAGGGAATTGAAAGGCAGGGGCTTCTGTCCATACCAGTCCAGGCTGGGGTTCTGGTTGAGGCAGTACTGGAGCGGGCCAGAGAGATGGGAAGGGGGTTTCGTGAGCGGTGGGTCACGGACCCCCAACCCATGCCCTACACAGTGCTCTCAGCGGAAGATCTTGGGCCCCGGGGGCTGGGAGACCCGGCTCTCGGTCTGCTCTCCCCCTCCCCACACCCCACCTCCCCTCTACCCCGCCGGGGTCCCCCAGGAATGCGTCAGCATGCAGCCCTCCCTACCCGCCAGTTCTGGGTCACCTCCGGCTTCAAATGTCGCACCGCGTAGCCGCTGAAACTCTCACCTGCAGAGAGAGCGCCCGTCTCCCGCCCCATGCGCCCCCGAAACAAGTCCGGCCCCCGCTCTTACCTGAGCCCCTCCCCTAGATCAAGCCCCGCCCCACACCTGCCCTGAGACGCTGTCCCGCCTCTACCTCCCGGCCAGAACGAGCCCCGCCTCGAGACCCAGGTCGGTGGGTCGCAGAACCAGCCCTGCGCTCTGACCGGGGCCTGGTCCCCGTCCTATCCCCACCACGAGCCCCGCCTCTATGTCCCTCAAAACGTCTCAGGCCCACCCGCTCTAAGTACCCCTACTGATCCCCGGCTTCCCCGCCGTGTTCTTGCGGGAGTTCACCTCGGATGACCCCATCCGCAGCCAGCGCTCCGGGTCCCAGCTTCAGGGCCCCGGAGGCGTGGCTGCCTTTCCCGCCCCAGCGCATCCTCCGCGCCCCATAGACCGACCTCTCCTGCTCGGGCAGGGCAGCTTGAACTCGCCAGCCGAGGACACGAAATGGGACCAGTCCTCGATGGCGCGCGTGAAGCAGGGCCAGTCGACCCGGTGGAGGCCCGGCGCGATGGACGCCAGCTTTCCCTTGCGGCACCTGTCGCGGAGCCTCTGGCCAGTCGCGGTGATATCCTGCTAGGGCGATGGGAGTCAGGGTCGCAGGGTAGGTGCAGAGGCCTGGGGGGGCCGACCCAGACCACTCGGGAAGGCGGAGCTGACGGTTCGCCCATCTGACCTAGGGGCGCCTGAAGCCCCTGATGGAGATGGGAAGGGGACGGGGGTCCCAAGGCAGCCGCTGAGGAAGTATGGGGAGTAGATAGAGCCCAGGACCGTAGGTGCTAAGTGCCCGGTGCAGGAGGGGCCTTCGCCCTCTCCGCTGAGCAAACCCAGGGCCAGCAGCAAAGGGCACTCACTAAGCACTGCAGGGGTTTGTTGGGAACGCCGAGCAGTGTGAAGTAGGCGTTGTCGAAGTCATCTGAAAAGGAAGAGAAAGGGAGAGTAGGTGTCTTCACCAGTAGTCACACGGGAGAGGTTTGGTCCACGCTTCTTTAAAATGTTCTTGGAAACGTTTGACAATTTAAAAAAATCTAAAATAGATTTTTACTTAACACACTTCGCAACAGAGTAAATTCCAAATAGATCAAACATTTCAATATAAAAAAAATGAAGGCATAGGCATACTAGGAGAAAACATGGGTAAGTTCCTTTATAACCTTGGAGTGGGGAAGGCCTTACCAACTCTGATTCAAAGTCCAGTAACCTTAAAGAAAAGAGTGATAGATTTGGCTCCATAAAAATAAAGTTCTGCATGACAAAAACAACATGAGAAGTTAAAAGACAAATGGGAAAAAATCTTTCCACTTATTCTATAGATGAGATGCAATTTCCCTATTGTTGAAAGAGCTCCTAGAGATCAAGACCAAAAAGAAAGAAAAAAAAAAGGGTAAACACAGCGTGCATAGATCGTTCACACACAAACACAAGAAATACAAATAGCCCTTAAACATATGAAAAGCTACTCCTCCTCATTCATAAGATGAATGTATATTCAAAGTACATTAAGATACCAATTTTTGCTTATCAGATTGAAAACAATCCAAAAGTCAGTGCAGTTACTGGAAACAGGGCCATGGCCACATGTTGCCAGAGTAGGTATCAATTGATTGGAGCCTATGGAAAGCAATTGGCAATATCCATCAGAATTACAACTATACATACCTTTTGGCCCCACAGCCCTGCTTCTGGGAATTTAGCTCACTTGACAGCCTCACAACTGGGAAATGATGTGGGGAGAAGATTTGCCAATTCCAGCATTGTTTGTAATAGCAAATGACTGGAATCAACTCAAGTGTCTGCCTTGAAAGGACTGGTTAAATAAACTGATACACCCTCACTATGCAGCTATCAAAAATAAGCAAAGGAAGTTCTCAATACACGACCATCTAAAGTACAGAAGAATGTGCGTCGTGTGCTGCATTTTGCTTTAAAGCCTAAAACTGAGACAATTGGAGGCAGAAAAGAATACACATTCAGGTCACCACCTTAACTGAGTCGTCAAACTTAGCATCACAAGGAGTGGGACAATGACATTCTGTGAGAACTGCTGAAGCATTATGGCCAATATAGCATCCACCACCTCAGAAGGAGTCCGGCCAGCAATGTTTTACCTAGCTAACCAAGTCTCTACACCTAACTTCTAGTTTACAAAAAATAGGTTATCAAGGCAAACAACACCATAAGGAAACACTCAAGTTTACAATGTGGGACTGTCTACAACGTAACTGTTTTGAACTCTAAAAAGTCAATATCATAGGGGGAGAATGGAAAGTGGGGAGATTGTTTTAGGCTAAGACTAAAGGGACATACAACCAATTGCAATGTACACTCCTAGATTGAATCCTGGTCCCCCCCCCCCAGTTTTTAAGCCATAAAAGATATCTTTGGGGGTAATTGGAGACATTTTAACATGGACTGAATATTAGATGTTATGGAATTACTGTTAACTATCCCAGGTGTGATAATGTTATGGTGTCATGTAGGAGGTTGTTCATATCATTGGGAGCTGCTTGCTCAAGATGTGTGTGTGTGTGTGTGTGTGTGTGTGTGTGTGTGTGTGTGTGTGTGTGAGAGAGAGAGAGAGNGAGAGAGAGAGAGAGAGAGAGAGAGGAAACAAATATGGCAAAACATTAATGGAAGCCGGTGGAAGGTAATGCGTATTCATAGTATTATTCTTTCAACTTTTCCTATGTTTGAATATGTTCATAATAAAAAGTTGGTGAGCAAAATAATACACGTCTGTATTTGCAATGGTAAGATATGACAGGATACATTAGAAGCTAAAAGTGGTTACCCATAATGTGACTCTATTACTTTTCTTTTTTTTTTTTGATTTTGACATATTTTATTCAAATACCAGTCTGATCACACATGGCCCAAGAACATTCAAATAATAAACCCAAGAGAAACATGTTAATGAGTGGTCTTCAAACCTTATAGCCAATGATGCCACGCTTACCTATGATCTCGCCAACATAAAACCACATCCACACCCCAGTGGCCACCAAACCATTCAGCAGAGCTTCCTTAACTGTGAGCTGTTTGCAGCTACCAGTTTGAGCGCTAGTGACTATTTTTTTCAAGCTCTGAATAGCTGTAGGGATCTCAGCAGGGGTTGGAGGAACCAGCTCAACCTTGGTACATAATGCCAAAATGTGGCTAATCGAGGCTTTGAGTAAGTCACAGCAGCGTTTACCAGTGCTGGGGCCTTCTCTGCGTGGTTACGGACAAACTGGGTCATGGTTCTAGGATGGAAAGTCCGTGCACTTGAACGGCCCGGCTCTATTACTTTTCTTAAGGCCTATACTTGCAATAAAATAGATATCTAAACCAAGAGCAAGCTTTCTCTAAAAACCTAGATTCCAAGAGAAGCCAGGAAGTTGGAAGATCTGATAGTTGCGTGGATCTTTCCCACACAGCGGTGGGGTTAGGGTGGGGGGGCCAGTAGCTGTTCCCCTGTGGAGGGGCAGGTGTGCGGGTTCCACTTCATCTTTTGCCTCTCCCTCCCTTGTGCTTCCTCACCCATTTTCTATATTTGTGTTTCCCATCTTGGCCCTGCAGGGCTCTAGGTGGGACCGCTGGCAATCTCCATGCAGTCTGTGACATGCTCGCCCGCCTGTCACTGAGCTGGAACCAATGTATCGTTCCCACTCTTGTCTCTCTACCCACATTGGTACCAACTCCAGTTATTTTATCTCCTAAATACCTTCCAAAACCCTTGCCAGTGGCCAAGACACTATCACTCCTTCTAAAGACTGTGGTCCCTCCCAGTGTCCTAACCATGTCCTCCCCACATTATCCACCCCTAGTCCCTCTGGGCCATCCTCCCCTCCCCCTCCCGCACGATGCTTGATCTCTTTTCTACTTAAAGTTCTTCAGAGTTTCTATTTCCTTCCTGAGAAAGTCCAGGCCCCTGAGCTTAGATCAGGGCCCTTCCTGAGCTGTGCCCTTGTCCTCTCCATCATGGGAGGTGTGAGGAGAGCCTGTCTCTTCCTTCGCCCCACGGAGAGAGGGTGGGCAGAAGTTATTACCATTGCTGATATTACTCCTGCTGCTTCAACTACCTTTGCACAGTTCTCTCTTCATTAAAAATAACAACATCAACAACGATGTGCCCAATTCGTGCCAGGCACTGCTCTAAGTGCTTTTCCTGCCTTACCTCATTTTAATCTCGCACTAGCCTTGTGAAGCAGGCCCTGTTATCATTTCTATTTTACTGATAAGAAAAGAGGGGCTCAGACCTTGGACAAGGTTCCCTGGGTAGAAAGTAGCACAGCTGGGACTAGCCCTTTGGACACTTTCATCTGCCCCTCATGGCTTTCCACCCCCACCCCCCAGATCTCTCTCCTCAAAACCATCCCCTGCTTCCCCAAAGGCCCAGAGGAGCCCTGTGGCAGCAGCAGGCGAGGTGGCATGACCTTTGCAGCAGTAGGTGGTGGACTGGCAGTGCTCATCCGACAAGCATGCCCTGACAGAGTCCATGTCCATGCGACGCAGGCTGGGCAGGGCCGGGTGGTAGAGCTGCTGCTTCACGCTGGCCAACTGGTTGCGCTGCTGTTCCATTGGGAGCAGGATGGCTGGGGACGCGTACACGTGGGAGGAGCCGTCCTCCCAGGGCACCGGGTCGATGATGCGGGCCATGGCTAGGGAGTAGAGAGTATGAAGGGGCTCACCTGGGCTCAGGCCAGTCAGACACCCTTCTATGTGGAAACACAACCTTAGCCAGTGCTGACTTGTCCACTGGTCTGATGTTTATTGAGCACCTACTATGTGCCAGGTCCTGTTTTTCAGGAGCGCCCCATGTTATGGCTGGAACATTCAGACAACATGGCACACACACAGGATGTGCTAAGGGCTCTGACAAGGTCAGTATAGGGTGTGTGTGTCTGGGGAGGCTGGGGTTGGGGCATTCAGGGAACGGCCTGAAAGAAGTGGCATTTGAGTCTATTCTTAAATAATGAGCAGGAAGAAGCAGCAGCAAGTGGGTTCATATTTAGCTCAGAATGCCTCTGGGTAACTAGTTATGGACTTTGGGCCTTAGCTAAGGTATCTGGCATTTACTCAAAACTCTACAGGGAGACAGAAAAGGAGGGGAGAGACAGATAGTCATGAACAAGGAAAACATTGCTGGCTACTCATCACCTTCCTTTAAAAACCAGGGTATTCCCAGGAGCCATGTAGCCATTTAAAATTTAGTGAGAATTTGTTGACCCAGTTAGAGGTGAGAGGTGGGCGGTAGGTGGGCAGGAAGAGAGAGGACCTAGGGCCATGGAGGAGCAGGGAGAGGGGAGGGGAGTAGCCTCAGGGGGTGGGCCTGCAGGGGGGGGGGCAGAGAGTGGAGCAGTAGGAGGGGGAGGAGAGACTACCTCATCTGCAGGGCGCAGGTCCCAGGTGCACAGGTTTATAAGGGTTTTCTGCTCTTCTGAGCACTCAGTGAGGAGAAGAGGCAGGGAGATGGGCCAGGCCCCACTGCCTTATGAGTCAGCAGGAGGGTAAAGGAACATTCTGCATAGACAATGCCCACTGCAGCCTGATTGTGAGAGCACCCACTCCTCGGCAACCCTGGCAACCACATGCTCTGTTGAGAAGAGCCTGCTGCCAGGGGTTGTGTGCACTGCCCCTTCATCCCCTCTTCAGCCTTCCTGAAGGTGGCTGTCTCCCGGGCCTCAGCCCAAGCTGGGCATGTTGGGAAGTGTTGGACAGGGAGCTGGAGCTCCCTGGGGATGGCCATGTCAGGGCTGGCCATTGCAGGCTGTGTGACCCTGGACTAGTTACTGTCTCTCTCTGGGTCTCAAGGCTCCTGTCTGTGTTAGGCAAGGGTCTTATGTCTTGCCACAAGGGGTGTCTGTAAGCTGGGAGGGCCCTCCCCTTCCTGCAAACCTCAGGAAAGAGGGCCCTGCCCTGCCTGCCAGCCCTTGGGGATACGGCGGTGGAGATTAGCCATAACCAGTGTCTAGGGTCAGTTTAAGGGGATCAGGGAGAATGGTGGCCTCAGCAGGTCAGGGATTAGCAGGTGATACATCATCTCCAGCCCCTTGCAGGCCTGCAGACGCTGCCCTCCTTCCCAGAAAAGCAAGGTCACAAGTGCCTAAGCCCAGCGCCCCAAAGCCTTGGGGAATGCCCACCACCCTGGTCACAACCACTGGAGACAGATTTCCCCACCCTAGGTGAGGAAACCCTGGGAGAGCCTAACTTATTTGCATTTATTGACATACGCTTTGCATATACCTGCCCAGAAGCTGAGCCTGTGAGATGGTGTAGGATTTGGCCCCCCAGTTGCCCCTCCTCGGTGCTCCATATGGCCCGAGCAGCTTCCCCAAGTCTGTTTCTCACGGAAAACTTCCCCAGAGTTGACTATTCACCACCCCAAATTTATTTTTGAACTCTTTGAAAGTTATAAAATATAACAAAATACAGAAAATGCATAAATAAATAGTGTAACCAATAATTTCTAAAGCGAGACCCTGGGTAACTACCACTCAAGAGTCAAGACATGGGGTACTAACTACTTTGCAAGAACAGTTTAGCAGTTTCTTAAAAAATGAAACATAAATTCACTATATGACCCAGCAATTCTACCTCTAGGAATCTTCCCAAGAGAAATGAACATATTTGTCCACACGAAGACTTGCACACAAATGTTCCTATCAGTGTTCTTTATAGTGGACGAAAAGTGGAAAGAACACAAATGTCCATTGACTAGTGAACAAATAGACTGGGGTGTATCTATACCATGGAATACTCTTGGGAATGCAAAAGAAATGAAGAACTAGTACGTGCTACAATGTGAGTGATCCTCAAAAACATCATGCTAAGTGCAAGAAATCAGACACAAAACACTCACCACATTGTATGATCCATTTATATAAAATGTCCACAAATGGCAAATCCTTAGAGATGGAAGGAGATTGGCAGTGGCTTGTGGCTGGGGTGGGAATGGGAGGGATTGTCACCAAGCACAAGGGATCTTGTTGGGGGCGATGGAGTGTGGGAAATGTTCTAAAGCTAGATGGTGCTCGTTGCGCAGCTCAGGCAATTGACTAAAAATCACTGGGTGGTACACTTAAAACTTTAGGGTGAATTTTATGGCATATAAATTAAACCTTAATCAAGTCGTTCTTTAAAAAAATAGATTCCAGCCAAAGCAAGCAAGCAGGGCCCTGCCAGCCTCTAAAAACTTCCATGTACCCCTTCCCAGCCACACCCCCAGCCTCCTGCCAGAGGTAACCTTTCTCTTGCCGCATAGCATAACCACAACTTTTCTTTATAGTTTTACTACCTTTGTTTGCGGCCATAGACAGACAGGCTAATCTGGCCCCTTTTGAATTTTGTGTACATGGACCATTGGTGTCTTTTGAGTCTGGCATCTTTCCATACACACACGGACACACACACACACACGCACACACATACACACACGTGCGCACACGCTCTCACACACACACAAGAATCATCCAAACTGGGGGTGGCTGAGCTTTGTTCATCTTCCTCACCCTACAGTCCATTCCTCTTCACCCAGGCCCATCAGGTGCATCCAGGCTCATTCCAGCCTCAGGACCTAGACCTTCGCAGTGTCCTCTGCCTGGAACACCATTCACTGAGATTTTGCTTTTCATGTCTCAGCTCAAATATCTACCTCTTCCTAGAGGCCCGCCTAGCCCCAGCTCCCCACTACCACACACATGTCTCTGCCCTGTTTATTTTTTCATGGAACTCAGCATAATTTGCAATACTTCTTCATTCATCCTTCTTCTGTTTTGTTTCTGCCTCCTCCATTGAATGAAGCTCCGTGAGGGCAGGTCCCATGCCTGTCTTGCTGGCATGCTGCCGGACACATGGGACGAGCTTGAAAAATTTTGTGGATGATCAAGTCAGATCATCCTTCTGCCCCACCCAGGTCCTGTCACCTCCCTGAGTCCCTCTTCACTGGGCCTCTGAGCTTCTCATCCTCTCCCCCTAGATCTCTGTCTCCCCTCTAGGGTCCGACCTCAGTTCAGGGGGCCAGCTCGCATGCAGCCAGTTATCTGTCAGTCCTTGGATCCTTTCTAAAGGCCCAGCCCTGGGACCACAGCCGTGCTGGCAGAGCCCAAGGCAGGGGCTGCAGATGGCTCTGGACCAGATAGAATCTGCCTGAATCCCTGCATTGTGGTTGGAGAGCTGGGGTGTGCCTCCTGCCACTGCTGAATGAGAGTAGACAAGCCCCTGCCACCTTGAGGAGTCTCCCAGAATCACATGGGGACGCTGAGCTGTCATTCTCCCACCAGTCACTCTGCAACTTGGCCAAGGTATCTGGGGAGCTGGGGCCCTGGTACCTGAGTAGGCCCCTGGTAACTCATGGTACCCCAAATCTGGGTCACCTGGGGCTCCTTCCCTGGGGCCCAGATCCCTGCTGGCCCCTAGGGGGTTGCTGTTGGCTCCCTGGCCACCAACCTCCTCTCTTCCACCACCACCTCCCCCACCTCTGATTGACACCTGCTAATCCTTTGCACACGGCCTGGCCTGGCCTGGTGCAGCCAATTAATCCCTGTGTTTGAGAGGCCAGCTGCAAGTGGTAGGGAGAAGGCACTTCCTGGTGTGGTCGGCATCTGAGCAGGTAACTCAGGATGAGGTGGCAGCTCAGTGGTGGTGGGACTGTTTATGCTCTCCTTCTAGTAAGGTGTTAGACCTGGAGAACTGGGCAAGGCTGGGAAACCCAGGGCTTCCTTCTCCCGGCCTTCCCGTGGGGTTCAAACCTTAGGTGGCATCAGGCTCTTCCAGGGCAGCCTGTGAAATGCAGACTCTGGGTCCTGCAATGGGTGTGGAGGGGCCTAGCAATCTGTCTATATACCAGCTCCCTAGAAGATTCTGAAAGCATCACTGTTGTCCTGGGCTGCCACTCTCAGGTCCCCCGTCCTGCCTGATCCACTGGGCCTCATCAAAGTGGCATCAGCAGGGACATGGCCAAAAGATAGGAGGGACTTGCAAAGGTTTCCATTTTGGAGGAAATGGCTGAGTCTGGGGGAAGAATTATTGTATAATTGGGAATGAGGAAGGCTTCCCTGGTCATTTCCAGAAGGTTCAGAAACCTGAGCCAGGATTGCTGCCAGCTGGGAGAGGGTTTGCAGGACTGGCCTGCAGAAGAAGCTAATGTCAGCTCTACCCGGCGTAAATGGGGGACATCTGGAGCCAGTCAGACCCGAGGGTAAACTCGGCTGGTCCGCTAACTGGCTGTGTTCCTTTGGGCAAATCTACTGACCTCTCTGTGCTTCCATTTCCTTTGCTGAAAAGTGGTGATGAAAACACTTATTTTTCCTGGGGCCAGGCGGGAGGTGGCGAGAATGCAGATGAGGGTGATTGTAGGTAGAGAGAACTTAGGTCAATTTGGGCTTGTGAGGCTGCCTATGGCTGGCTGGGGTCAGTGAAATCCACTATCCTAACATGTTCTCTTGGGCTCTACTGACTCTGGTGATCACGGTGTCTATATCTACCCAGCAGGGAAATGAGCGAGATCACGTCTCACCCAGAAGCTCACCTTTTGGGAGACGGAGCCAGAGCTCTGTCACCACCCACCACCCAGCTGGGCTGCTGAGGCCAGAGTGGGGACTAAATTCAGTGGGGACTGAATTCAGAGCTGTGAGTAGACGGACAGGCAGTAGAACCAGGGACTGCAGGGAGCTGGGAACTGGGGCAGGGATACTGGGCGCTGTGCCTGCCCTTTTCAGCGTGGAGGGAGGGTCCCTGACAGAGGAGGGACAGAGATGTACGCTACCACCTGGGCTGCCCATGGCCGGGGGAGCGGGGATACACTGCGTCGGTCATTGCCCCCCAAGGGCGCTTTCAGGGCTGTGAGTTTGTACACACTGATCTGTGTGGTGCCCGCTGGGCCAGGCCATCTTGTAGGGATCTAGTCACAAGGGCTAGATCCCATTCCCCGAAGAGAAATGATACCAGACATTGACCCTGCACAAGGTAGGGCTGAAATATCACAGTAATTCATGAAAAAGGGGTTTTACCTATCATTTTATCTTAAAAAATGTTGAGATCACGAAAGTGGGTTAATTTTGCCTTATATTAAACAAAAGACAGTTTCCGTTGTATTTATTACTTATAATGTATTTTTAAAATTTTATATGGGGTTATGCTAAACACGGATGCCAATATTCCACAATATGCGTTTTTTGCTTGACACCGAGCAGTGGTCACAGCCAACAGTTATTAAGCTCTCAGCGTGTGCTAGTCATTGTCGTTCCCAGTTTATCTCATCCCCACAATCACCCCCACCAGGTAGGTGTTATTAGTATCCCACTTTACAGACAAGCAAATGGAGGCACTAAGAGTTTAACTGATTTGCTCATGACTAGAGTCTGGAGCATGTGCATTTTTTCGTGTTCAAATTGGATCTACTTTTGTTAGTGGCTCCACAAGGTTCCATTATTGGATGCATTATACTTGATTTAATATGTGCCCTCTTTTACTGGTGAACATGTAGGCACTTTGCAATAACCAGCCTCCTACTGATGGATATTTGGATGTTTTTCGTCTTTTGCTATAACGCTGTTGTGGCTCACCTCTTTACACACATGTGTCTGTGGGACTGAATATTTCTATCGAGTAAATAAATACCTGGAGATATAATGGCAAAAATATTTAAAAATATGTGAGGATAGGGAAATGTGTAGCCCACAAAAGCGGCCCCCAAATGGTGGGAGCAACTCTGAGTACTCTGTGGAGGCCTAAGGACTCTGTCCTCTTCAGGTGTTGGGATGTTGGGCTGGGTCCAGAGGGTGCTGCCTCAGCCCCCTGGGACCCCTCAGAAGACCAAGATGGAGGAGGAGGGGGCAGAACCGGGGCCAGAGCCTGTGCTGGAGGTGGAGCTGGAACCCAAGCCGGAGCCTGAAACAGCCCCCCAGGAGGCCAAGCTTGAGGAGAAGCCCCTGGTAAGAAGCGAGGTTGGGGGAAAGCGGGGGTGGGGGGGTTGGGGGGGTGGCAAGGAAGGGCATGATGGCGGCCTTACTGCTGGGGAATTCCCCATGAACCTTCCACAACAGAGAAGGTTGGAGCCAGAAGGAAATGTGAAGGTCAGCTTGTTCTTAACAGAATGGACAATAAATATTTTAGGCTTTGTGGGTCATGCCATCTTTGTTAATTACTCAACTCTGCCACTGTAATGTATGCAAATGAATGAGCATGGCTGTGTTCCAATAAAATTAATTAACGAAAACAAGCAGCAGGCTGAATTTGGCCCACAGGCCATTGTTTGGCAGCCTCTAGAGTCTAGAGCAGAGCTGCTGGGAGTAACCAGTCCATGAACTGATTGTTACCAGTCCACGATGAGATTAGGAGCTTGCTAGAATGTAAATCTGCTATGTAACTAAGCATACTGCTTAGTTTAGTTGGTATTTGTTTTGCAGTAAGACTTTCTTAATGAAGGAAGTAGTGTGTGGATATATATTCTGGTGCAACCTTATTCACTGTGTAACAGTAACAGCTTGCAGACTGACATTGGCCCATGCACCCCACTTTGAGCAGCACTGCTCTAGGACTTTCCTTCGAGCACATCAAAACTTGCCCGTCTGCATCCCATTCATTCAGGAGCCTGATGACAACTAATTCAGAAGCTCAGTTAAACAGATTTGATTTGGCTGGTAATGGATGCCAGGCTCACAGTACTGGGAGCATAATGAATAAGGCATTGTCCCTAGGGGTCAGCAGATAAGTACCTGGCCAGGTCATTCTATGAGGATACAGAGGTGATGAGCTCCAGCAACGGCTTCAGCTCTCCTCTTCTGGGAGGGTCAAAAAAGCCTATCAGACTAAGAACTATGGGAGCTCAGAATAAGGAGTCATCTTATCTTTGGAGGTTCGAAGATGGCAGGGGTGTGCTTCCTTACACAGCAGGCTGGGCTGAATTGTATCTGGAGTTGATGAAGCAGTGGAACGCTCCTAGCAGAGGAAAGTCTATTACTGGGGTGGTGCAGGCCGGGTTTAGGAAACAGTGAGCTATTCAGGTATAGGATTTGTGTGCGTGCATGTGTGTGTGTGTGTGTATATATATATATATATATATATATATATATATATATATATATATGCATGCCATGTGTCCTTAGTAATATGTCTGTGCATATGTGTGCATTTGCAAATTGGGTGTACATGACCACATGCATGCATATGTATGTGTGTGCGCACAAGCATATGCATCCACACATATGTTTATGTGTATGTGTACATGCATTAGTATGTCTGTAGTTTCATGTGCATATGTGGCATGTTAGTGTGTGTATATGCATATGTTTCTGAGTCTGTGAATATATACATGTTTGTGTCTCTGTGCATGCATGTGTATATGTATATGGACATATTTGTGTGTGTCTACATGTGTATAAATATATACATATTTTGTGTGTCTGTGCCTCTATGCTCATGCATGTGTGTTCAGATGCAGAAGTCTGTGTGTATGTGCATGTATCCATGCATATGTATGTACCTATGAACATGTCTGTGTGTCTGCAGTATGCTCACCTATATGCATATGTCTTGGATTGTGTTGGTGCACACATGGAATGATGTGTACAGGACTGCATGTTTATGTGTCAGTGCAAGTATGCATGTGCGTGTCTATATGCCTATGTTTATGTGACTGAGCATATAGATATGTGCATGTGTGTACACATACCTGTGTCTGTGTAGATATGCAAATGTGTGCACATGCATCTGTATGTATACTCAAGGTATATGTATGTGTGTATGACTATACACATATGTGTGTATACACAGGTTTGCATGTGTCTATATGCATGTGAATGTGTGTAAGGGCATGCATGCTCATGCACACATGTATAAGTACATGTGTTTTGTGCCTTGCACATGCACATGTATGTGTGGCATGTGCACTAATTTTGTGTCTGTTCATGTATACACACATGCACACATGATTTGTGGGTTGCCATTTGTATACACGTGTATGTGTGCTCATGTATGCATTGTCTGTGCCTGTATGTAAATGTATTTGAGAATGAGTATGCATACATCCGTCTGTCCGTGTATGCATGTTTGTTGTACATGCACACGTGTGCATGTAGCAGCAGGAGGCAATGCTGCAGAGGCAGATGAGAGGCAGGTGACAGAGGCCAGACTCCACCTGGCTGCTGGAGGGGAATGGAAGGTGTGACCCAGGAGGAGAGGGAGAGCCCTGACTGGGGGCTGGGCATGGGCCGGTCTCCTCTCACTCCTCTTCCCCTCAGCTTGCTCCAAGGCTTCATGACTCTCTCTAACATTCCTCCCTCTTCTCAGGCCACTGAAGTGGGGCAGCTTCCTGGGGGATGAGCGGCCTGGGGCCACCCTGGAGGGGCATAAGGGCCCAGCCCTGGATGAGGGACCCCTGGGGTTGGGAGGAAGGGAGTGTGCTAGGTGGAAAGTGAGGTCAAGGTTTTACAGAGATGATTATGAGAATAGAGTTGTACGTATGTTCTTGTGGAAAGTGGGAGGGTCCCTTATTGGGTGGGTCAGGGGCTGCCCCTGCCTGAACCAGGCTGGTCTGTCTGAGGGCTTACATGGTCCTGTTTGAACCCTCCAGCCACCCCAGGAGATGTTCGAAGTGGAAGAAGTAGCTGCAGCTGACCCAGGCTCTCAGGGTGAGTGCTGGAAGCCCAGGCTGGCAGGACCGGCAATGAGAAGGGGCTGTGTTCTCCCCTGAGAACCTTGCAGAGGAACCACGAGGCTGGCAGGCCCATTTCATAGATGAAGAAACTGAGGCTCAGAAAAGCTAAGGGTGGGCTCCTGGGGACTTTTTAACTGAGCTGAGCTGGAACTCCATCTTTCTGACCCCCTTGGGGCTCTCCCCTCTCCCCTGCCTCTGACTTGACCTCTTCAACACAAATGGGCCTCTGAGAGGCTCCAGATCTAAAGTGTGAGGGACTCTCTTCCAGACATACAGGAGGCTGCCTCTATTCCACCCACATCTCTCCAGGCCCAGGTTGCTGTGGTTCCTGAAGTGAACAGGTACCTTACCACCCTCCCCTCTCCTTAGGGCCAGGCCCCCATGCAAGCTGGGGAGCCATTGGGCGGTGGGGACCTGCAACTGCCCTGAGGTCCACAGTCATTCCCAGGCAAAGTTTGGAACATCTTGGGAATTGGCTAAAGAGAGCCTCAGGCAGAGGGTGGGGGTCTCCTGGGCCAAATGGGCAATGTGACCAAGAGAAATGGAGGGTAGGGCCAGAGGTTTCTCAGTGCTTGGGTGAAATGCAGGTCCAGTGTGGGCAGAGCTTGTGATATCTCCCTGAAGCCAGAAATCCAGACTTTTACTCAGAATCTCACAGTTGGTTCAAACATTTTAGACAATTGCTGCTTGTCCAAGTGAGCATGTCTGCGGCTGTGGCTGGCTCTGGCAGTGAGCCTGTGACCCTCATATTTAGGCTGACCAGCCTCAGCCACAAGGAACCCCCACTCTCCCCCCTCAGGAAACCTTCAACCTTTCTGGAGCACAGGAAGTGTGACAAGTACAGGACAGGGACCCCCTGGAGCCAGACTAAGGGGGATGTGGGGTGATGGAGAGAACTGGCTGCTCGTACCGAGCATCTGATGGGGGGTCGGGCTCGGATGGCACTGGGCATACCTGACTGACCAAGGGTTGGTGTCCCCCACTTTCCAGAGAGGGACACAAAGCTCGAGGGAAAGGCATGTGTCTGAAGTCTCACAGTGGGGACATAGAGGTTTGTGATTCAAACCAAGTCCTTTAGTTGTGGACTGCCCCTCTGACCAGGTTGGGGCTGGGGAGGTTGACGGTGGGCTGGTATCTCTGTCCCTCCACAGTCCCAGTGGCTGGGTGCTGACCTGGCTCAGGAAGGGTGTGGAGAAGGTCATCCCGCAGCCCGTTCACAGTGGCTTGGAGGGCGCCGCTCAGGTACTGCTGGGGCTGGGAGCTGAGGAGGTTGGTGAGAGGCTGGCACCTGGCCTTTCTGCTCACATCTGTCTGTCTATCTGTCTGTCTCAGCAGGCAGGAGCACAGATCCTTGGGCACTGCAGCACTGGGGACTCAGGTAAGGCCAGGAGATAGGATGGCTTTACAGGGGTGGGGCTGAGGGCTGGTTGAGATGGGCCCTGCCCATGGGGAGAGAGCACAGGGCCAGAGCTTCTCATCTGACTGGCACCCGGGGTTCAAACCTGGTTTTGAGTTGGGCTGACCGGGGGTTTCTGGGCAGTCCTCTTGCTGCTGACCACCTTCCTTTCATCTGCAGATGGACCCAATGAGGCCCCTAGGGCTCAGGATACTGGGTGAGTCCCCATCCCTGAGCGCTGCTTTGCGAGCCCCCGAGCCTTATCTATAGTGTGTGTGGTGGGCGGAGCGGAGTGTTCAAAGCCCAGGGTCTTGTGTTTAAGAGCAGATTCCACCACCAAATCATCACCACCTCAGTGTGTGACCTTGGACATGCCTTTCATCTGTCCTGGGCTTCACTTTTCTCATCCAAAAAAATGGGGATAATGGGCCCTGTGCTCCTCATGGTTTGTTATATTGATTACTGGGAGATCCCTAGGTGGGGGCCACCTTCTGAGGATAGGAAGAGGCATGGATGGGCTGCTCATGGATGGGCTCATGTAGGTGGGTGCCATGTGAAACCTGGAGGCAGGGCCTGGGCCACCATGGGGGACATCGGGGTGCCCAGGTTGGCCTCACGGTTGGCAAAAACTTCAAACTTCTCAGAGCTGACCGAGGCAGGTGGCTGCCTTGTCATCAAGGGTGGCAGGCTGGGTGAGAATGGCATATGGGGGAGCCCATGTCCTTCTCCAGGGAGGGGCCCTGTTCAGTTCCAGTTGCCTCTTCCCTGCAGGACTGTGGGCCCAGAGTGGCCAGATCCTCTGGTTTTTTAAGAGAAGCTAGAAATTTAGGGGTTTTTTAAAATGTTAAATCCTTAATTTAATTTTCTTTTAAGGACAGTTTATTAGAAAAAAAATACATTTCAAAGAAACAGAAGCAGGAGAAAAAGTAGAGAACGGCTCAAGGGCCATTGTTAGAAAAGAAAGTACACTCCACAGAGTTTGGAGCGGGCCGAGCAAAGGAAGCTCAAAAGGCAACAAATCCTTAATTTTATGAGACTGACACAGATCCTTAATTTTGGATGTTGCCAACTAATTGAAAAGTTTTCAGAACACCGAGGGCTCCCCAAATAGGCCTGAAGACTCCAGTTTGCAATCGCTACTGGAAATCCAGAGTCATGCATTCGTCTCTACTCATTTCATTCATTCATTCCATTCGTTCCTTCCTTTATTCATTCTTTAGACTGTAGAGTCCTTGAGTTCAGGGGCTTTTGTCTTAGTCAGTGCTGAGCCCCCGGTGCCCAGCACATGACCTGACAGAATGGCCATGTGTGGTAGGGGCTGTGTGACCACCATCCCCTCTGTAGGCCCGGGCCCTGGCTGCTCAGGTGGTTTGAACAGAATCTAGAGAAAGTGCTACCTCAGCCTCCGAAAACTTCTGAGGTAAGTGGAGGAAGCTGACCACGTGGGAGGGTTTCTGGGGTCCCAGGAAGGGCCTGCCTACTCCAGCAGTCTATCCCCATGCCCCATCCCCAGGACCAGTGGAGGGGATGCTCTACCCCCTGGAGCACCTTCATGGGGGGAGTGACTGCAGAGGGAGAGGGGGATTCAGGGGAAGGGAGGCCCAGGGCACAGCTGGCCAGGGGAGGAAGAGCACAGGGCTTGCTTCGCTCCATGTCCTCACTCCCTGTTTATGACCTAGGGCTGCAGAGATGGACCTGCAGATGCTGCCTTGGGCCCAGGTACAGGGAGGGGACCTGGGGAGGGGCAGACAGGGATGGTCACAGGCTGGGCTGGGGTACAACTGGAGCATGGGGGATCCCAGAGGAGGACCTTAGCACTTACTCAGGCTATGGAGGGGTTCAGTGCTTGCCAGGAGTGGGCTGTTATGGGGGATTTTAGAAGCCCTCCCCAGTCCGGGCTGGGAAGGCAGTGGCCTGGGACAGCCTTGTGAGGTCTTAGACAAGTCTGTCCCCACCCTGGGCCTCAGTTCCATGTCTGCCTGATGATAGGTATAGGTGGGTGGTCTCAATGGGCTCAGTCATGTTGGACCCCTGTGCCCTTGAGGGCTCCCATGGAGCCTTGCCATGTCACCTTTAGTCTCCTGCTCTCTGCTGCTTAGAGCCCCCAGGACCACCCTTGGAAATGGAGCCCATGCTGCAGGCCCCAGAGAGTCCCTCCCTGCCCACCCCGGGGCCCTTGGAGCCGGAGAAGGAGCTGACCCCAGAGCCCCAGCCTGACTTCCAGGCGTCCTCCCTGCTGTCCCCGAGGGACCCTGCCAGGTGAGTCCCTTGAAATACCGTACCTTCCATGGGCAGCAGGGTCAGTGCCTCGCCCCAGCCCAACACCCAACCTACTCCAAACTGGTTTATTAAATTATGAAAGTAACACAGAAGAGAAAACTGAAAGGGGTTTCCAGGGCCCCTTCCCAGGGCAACTGAGTCGGCAGCTTCTCTTCCTTCCCCACAGCTTTTGGGCACTGACAATCTTGTCGGTACATGTCACGCCCCGCTGACAACAGCAAACCACATACACTCTTCTGCGTCTTGCTTTTTTCACTTAAAAATATACCTTTGAGGTGGTTTTATACATCCAAGTCTGCTTCATTCTCTCCACGGCTGCATAGTGCTCCGTTTATGGATGTAGCAGCTGTTATTTAACCATGTGGGTTTGAGCAGTGGTCACAGACTTGCTCAGGCAGGCCAGGGAGGGGAACAGTGATCTTTTGGGGTGGAGACCTGGGTTCTGGTCTGCCTTCTGGCAGGCTTGCAGCCTGCCTTTGGTGGGCGGGGGCGAACCTCACTCTGGCCTCACTTTCCCACCCAGACACGGCCGCTCTCTCCCACCCACAGGTTGGTGGCATGGCTTCTGCACAGACTGGAGATGGCCCTGCCACAGCCAGTGCTCCGTGGGGAGGCTGGGGAGCAGGTGGGTGCTGGGCTGGAGGAGTGGGGGCCCTGGGTGGTGGCGGGAGGGGTCTTGGGAGCTGAGGCAAGAATGGGATGGTTGACCTGTGTCCTGGGGGCGGGGGACACGGGGAGGCAGTCGTACAGCAGGAAGAAGGGAGTCTGCAGTGGGAGCCCAGCCCCGCAGCCTACCTGCCTGCACAGTTCACATTCATTCCACACACACTCTCTGAAGCATTGTGGCCACAGGGTTGAGAAGGGGTGGCCCAGCCTTGCCTGTCGGGAGGTCACAGTTGGTGGGGGAGGTGCTTCCATTGTGGGGAGCAGAGAGGACGTAGGGTGCAGAGGAGGAGCCTCCGGGGAGCATCAAGGAAGGCTTCCCAGTGGAGGTGGCCTTCAAGCTGAGATTTGAAGCAGTAGAAAGTGGGTGGGTGAAAGTGAAGGCAGGTGGCTTGGAAAGCACCCTTCAGGCAGAGGATCGGCACATGCAGAGGCCCAGAGAGAAGAAAGGGCTGGAATGTTCTGGGAAGAAGTGGGTCTCTAAGGAAGCCCGTGGCTCTGTGTGCATTCTTGGCAAGCCAGGGCTCCCGCGCATTCATGTCACTTCTTTCTCTCCCTCTCCAAGACCTGGGCCCTGGCCCTTCTCTCTTGGGGACAATTGGACACCTTCACAGAAGCTCCTGGAACTGGGAGGCAGAAGGCCTGGATCCCAGTCCCGGGCAGCAGGAGGTGGACAGGCAGCCTCAGGGCCCCATTCCCAGCAGGCCGAGCCCTCAGGCTCTGCGTTCATGTGGCCTCTGCAGGTGGCAGAGCAAGCGTAACTTTGGAATTTTCCAAGAGGAGGAAAGGGGGGCCTGGTGGCAGGGAAGATTAGTCAGTGGAGATGCCCTCATAGAGAGGAGGGGTCCCTGAGGATAAGGGTGGGGGGCAGGGAAGGTGTGGTGCTGGTGGGGGAGAGGCCTTTGTGCAGATGGAGCTTGGAGACAATGTCTCAGGGAAGGATGGGGCGAGGTTTTTTATACACAGAGAACCAAAGAGAGGGCATTCAGCCACGGGGCCCAGCCTGGCGAAAGAGCTAAGGTGGGACCAAGCTGTGATCCTGGTAGGAGAGAGGCTGGAGCAGAGGGCGGCCTCTGAGGGAGGAGAGGAGAAGCAGAGAAGAGCAGAGCCTGAAGCAGGGGGGTCTTCTGTGGGTGTCCTAGGGGAGGAGGAAAACCCTCTAGCGCATGCATGAGCCAGGGGGTTAGTTGAAGCAGCAAGGCCAGTGAGGGGGCCACAGCAGTTTTTTTCCCCTTCGTTCCTATGCAGGAGCCTGATTCCCCTGTGACATGTGACGTGCAGACTAGTAAGTGACATGTGAATGGGTCCTTGTGTGTGTCTTTAGGAGGATTGCTTGGTCTGAGCGAGCGTGGGCGGTGGGGCTGTCTCTTGCCAGGCCTGGACTTGCTCTGGGGGCACAGTCAGGGTCTCTTAACCTGGAGCTATGGACCCCCATGCTCTGTAGGCCTCACCTCAGGGCAGCCTGGCCAGGTAGCCAGAGCACGGCCCAGAGTCAGGTGGTGGCCGGAAGCCCCTGCTGGGGGCTGGGGAGATGGTGAGGGGAGACCTGGCCTGCCTTCCAGCTTCCATCCAGAAGAGACAGTTCTGAGGCCAAGTGGATGGGCCCCCTTTCCTGCTGACAACACCCAGAGAGAGCTCCCCATGACCCCCTGGCAGCTGGGCAGTTGGGGGGTGAGGGGAGAAGGACGGGATCTCCCTGGGAAACTGCATCCCGTAGACCCCAGCCCCCTTGAGCTGGGAGGGCATCCACTTGCTATGGCTGGGCTGGGGAGGTGCCTGCTGCCTTTCATGCTAGCCCTGCTCCAGGATGGGGGGCAAACTGAGCCCAGGAGGGGAGGGCTGGGGTCCAAAATCTGCTCTTCCTTTATTTCATGGCCTTTGGAAAGGCATGCAGTGTACAGAGCATTAATTAATTAATTCATTCATTCATTCATCCATCCACAAAGGACCTTGGAGGGCCTGCTATGTGCCAGGCCTGTGATGAGTGCTAGAGGTGAGCAAAGCGGAGTTCAGGGCCTGTGGGTGGTGGCCCTATTCCATCCTGACACAGGCCCCAGGACCATGCTCCTCGCCATGTCTGCAACCCCAGCCTGACTAGGCCAATGGTGGTCTTTACGAGCACTCTATGACCCGGGGCACAGACAGGCCAGCTGACTGTGGAACTTGGGTCTGACAGAGTGGCCATGGGAGGCAATGGGGTTTGTATAATTGGGATGACTTTGTGAGCAGAAGGCCTCAGAGCAGGGCTCACTCAGTTTCCTGGAGCTCATGGCCATCCTGGGAGGTACAGAGCAGGGACCCCCATGGCTGATGGGGCAGGCAGAGGGACAGGGACATGCTCAAGGTCACAGAGCAAGTTCTCACGGAGCGGAGACTAGAGTCCACGTGGCTTGGTAGCAGTTGCTCAGTCAGGCTGAGGTTAATGGAACAGAAAAAGCTCCCTGGAACAGAGACACCCCCCCCCCCAACCTGCCGGGGCTGCTGAGAGCTCTGAGGACACAGCCCCTGGCCCTTCTTAACCTCCTCTCTGGAGCGGGCAGGATTCTTGGCCAGCTGTGGACAGGACCTCCATGAGTGCTGGAGTGTGGGGGTCAGGGGTGGGCTCTGGGGAAGCAATGGGGCGACTCAATACCAGGGCCAGGAACTGGGCACTTGTTTCCTGGGGCTGGAGTAACAAAGGACCACACACTGGGCACCTTGAACAGTGGAAATGTACTCTCATAGTTCAGGAGGCCAGAAATCCAAACTCCAGATGCTGGCAGGGTTGATTTCTCCTGGGGCTCTGAGGAATAAACCGTCCATGCCTCTGCCCTGGCTTCTGGTGCCCGCAGGCCATCCCTGGTGTCCCTGGGCTTCTAGCTGCCCCCTAATCTCAGCCTTTCCGTCTGTGTCTGTCAAGTATTCCTTTCCTTTCCCTTATAAGGACACTAGTCTTTGGGTTTAGGGGCCACCCCAAACCCAGGATGACCTCATCTTGAGAGCCTTAACTAATGACATCTGCAAAGACCCTATTTCCAAACAAGGTCACATTCACAGGTACCAGGAGTTAGGACTTGGATTGTTTTGAGCGGACACTATTCAACTCACTATACAGGGTGACCTTAAGGTGTTGGGGGATGAGCGTCCCCGCTTCTCCCCACTCCATCCCCCAGCCTCCCCATCTTTCACTCATTCAGGCACTCATTCATTCATTCCCTCTACCTGTCCACCCAGCCACCCACCCACCCTTCTGTCTTCTCCTTTGTTTCAGGGGTGGCAGCAGCTGGAGGCCTCTGAAACAAGGGAGAAGGGAGCCTGGGAGACTGCAGATGGACAAATGGACAGATGGATGGAAGGAAAGAAGGGTGCCCTGAAGAGAAGACCTGCAGAGGAGGGGGGGTGACCTTCGATCCCCCACCCTCCTTGAACAGCGACCCCTGACCTTTCCCAGTCTCCCAGGCAGCACAGAGTGAATCAGAACAACCTCCACCAGTCCCAGAGTTGTTTCAGGGACCAAAGCCGGCCGCTTTCCACCAGAGCAAGGGGAAGCCTGCGGCACTTGGGCTAGACAGCAGGAGGACTTCCCACTGGAAGGCTGGGAGAGCCTGGGAAGGAAGGTCTTTGAGAGGACACCTGCACAGTCCTCAGCGTGGTGCCTGCCACACAGTTGGTGGCCCCTGGGACAGGTTTTCCCAGAAGAGTTTCTTCTTAGGCTTGGCCATGTTTTCTCTCGGAGAGTCAGAGCCACCAGTGGATGGCAACAGATGCTTTCATTGATATTAAAGAGTATAAATTAGCACGTTAAACCTGTGATTGCATATTATTGCTTCAGATAAGCTAAAATGAGTATCTAGGCTTGCAAAGTGGGAAGATTAAATGAGGCCTGTGGTCTGGGGGTTGCAGGGAGGAGCAGTAGCCAGGAGTCCTGAGCGGGTCGCCCTGCGTCCCAGCTGGCCCACAGATGTCTGTGTGTAAGGCAAGGAGTAATTTTAAAAATTAGAGTTAGTTGTCACCATTTAAAAATTAGGTGGCTTTACATAGAAGAAGTCTGGCTTCTCTCAAAAACTGGGAAGATCCCATTGTAATGGGCTGACACTACACTTGTGAAGACAATCTGAGCAGCTGCTGCCACCTGCCCTTCACTTCACCCATATACACCATCTCCCTGGGAGGGTAGGCCTTTGAGTTTGAGACCCCCTGAGGCCTCAAACTGGCAGTGAGGGGGTGAGCAGCCTGGTAGAGGAAATCAAGTGAACAAATGCCTACAGGTAGGAGAGGGGGAGTGGACTTGCTAACCCCAAGTCCTTGATGCAGAAGGTAAAGCTAGAAAAGTTAGGTACTGATTTTAGGGGACTAGGCTGTAGGCAATGGGGAGTCATTGAAGGTGGTTGAGCAGGGGAGTGACTTCACAAAGATTACTCTGAGGCTGGGCAAGCATTGGAGGCAGGGAACGTGATCAAAGCAGGGTTCTTGAACTTTGGGCCCCATCTGAAGTATCTTGGACCTAGGCCTGCCAGAGAGGATGGAGGTTTTGAGCCAGAACTTGGGCTTTGCTAGCAGCCCAGGGTCCAAGTGGGGCCCTTGGTCTAAAATCCAAGCCCCTGGCTCCCTGCCCGCTGGTCCTGGATACAGGAGCTCCTTTCCCCAATGGGGCTGATGACCTTCACTGCTGGAGTCAGAGCCCCATTCAGTGGCCCTAAGGGGCATCTTAGGCTGGCAGAGAGGATGCTGGCCAGGAGGTAGCATGCCCATGAGGGACTCCAGCGACAAAGTCTAAGCCCTGGATTGAGCAGCAGTTTCCATGTGAGCTTGAGCACTCACAGTACTTCAGTGGGCCATCTGTGACCTGAGTACCTGGTGGCCCTGGACAGGCCAGGACAGCTATGAATCAGACGCCTGAGGAGAGGGGACGAGACAGTGGTTTCTTCACCAGGCCCGATCGGGGATCTGAGTGAGGATCAGTGTGGCCAAGAGCCCCAAGGCTGCCCTTCCTGGCTGGTACCTGGGGCGCCATGCTTCTCAGTGCCATAGACTCTTTGGCTGTAAAACAGGAACATTTTCGGGCATGCCTTACAGGCCTGGCACAGAGCTGAAAGGAGGAAATGCTGGTAAAACGCATACTCACTAAATAGTACCTAAAAACAAAGGTTAATGAGAGGAAAGTGACGGTTTAAAAGCAAGGACGCACCCACTCTCCAGGACGCCGAACGCTGGGCTCATCTAGCACCCATTATGGAGAAGCTGCCAATGCCAGGGAGACCCTCATGGGGCACATTTACCACCTGGGATAGCTCACCAGGGAAAGAGGCAGGAGTCAGGCGACCTGGCACTGCCTCCAACATCCTGTGTGACCTTGGACAAGTCCCTCAGCCTCTCTGAGCCAGCTCTCTGGTCTATAAAATGGGGAGAGTACTGTTCTCAGCCTGCAGGGCTGCCGTGAACGCTAATGAGCTCACAGGCCAGGGGATGTTCTGTTCCCTGGATGTCTCCTGCTGTGTCAGGCAGGAACTTGCACCATTGCTGTGCAGAAACATAGAACGACATGTACAACACAGCCCATTACCGGATTCAGGGCCACACGTGGAGAAGCCCAGGGCTGCTTGTGGGGTCAGAGGAGCCAGCACCAGCTGTGGAAAAGGCTAGTTCAAGGTGTATTGTGGGAGGCTCCCTAGAGGGCAGGCAGGCGCTCCTCTGTGAGGCAAGGTAACATCTGTACCTCGAAGCCAGGAGGCGGGAGCCAGGAGTGAGGCGACTCTTAGAAAGTATTCAGCCTCATGCCTGGCACATGGGAAGCACCCCATAAAAGAAGGTGTAGACACATACCTCAGTTTGCTTATCTGTAAAATGGGGAATAACATGTGAAAGAGGGAAAGTAAAATGGGGATAATAATTATTCCCACTTCAAAAGGTTGATGTGAGGATTAATTGAGTTAATCATGTAAATCACTTAGTACAGGGCCTGGCACATAGTAAGTGCTCAATAAATGTAACTGTTGTTGTTAGTATTATTATTGTTCTACACCATGAACAGTAATTTCCAAAGTCACAGGGTGAGACTTGAGGCCAGCCATTTAAAGTCACCGTTAGTAATTCATGCTTGGCTCGAGCACCACCAAGGCCCCTGAAGCTTTTTGGAAACACCTGGTATCCAGGCAATGTCCCCCTTTCTCCTGCCTGAGGGTGGGCTTAGGTTCCTGATGAGACTCCCCTATACCCACTTCTGCCAAGCTCACAGCCCCACAGTGTTGTCATTGTCAGGGAGCATGGCACTTGGAGAAGTGTTGAAAACTGCAGACTGCTCTCTGAAGGTGGGACCAACTCCATGAGAAAGTTGATCCCCTTAGAGAATGGAGCCTCTAGGTCCAGGAGGGAGAGACAGACTCCCAGAAGCAGGTGTTGAGATTATAGGCATGTAGTATGCTGTCACCAAGGGGTGGCATCTAGAGTACAGGCAGTGGTTAAGCTCTCTCTGCATCCCTTGGGACATTCCAGGCCTCCCTGAACCTGGATGTGACAGTTGGACTCTGAGCCTGGGTCTTTTGGCATCACCTGCAACGCTGTGGTTAGAAGCATTGTTTCTGCTTCTGCACAAACTCCAAGGAGGCCCCAAGGAGACAAAGACTAACTGTAATGGAAGCTCTGTCTCAAGAAGAAAAAGAGGGGGAAACTAATGGAAGAAGATAGGGCGAATGATCGTGGACTTCAGCCCATCACCTTAGCACTACTTTGGTTTCTAATGGTCCTACTGATACTAGTGGCATGTCCACTGCTTGGCTGAGAGCCGGTGCATGGCTGGTGATGACCAAGGCTCCCTGTGGAAGTCCCTGGGACTTAGAACCCAAGCCCACTCTCCCCCACACCCTATGTCCCCTGCAGTCAGCATCCTTCCTGGAATGCCAGAGGAGCCAGATCTTGTTCTAGAAGAGGTTGACCCTTGCTGGGAGGAGGACGAGCATCAGGATGGCAGCACCAGCCGGCAGGCCTCAGAGGCAGCTCCAGCTTATGAAGAGGAGAACGAGGCTGGGGGAGAGATGCCCAGGTAGGAGCCAGAGAAGGCCCTGAACAAATGATTGGGAAGATAATCAGCATATAGTATAGAACTGCAGAGGCATAAAAGGGCTTTCCTTGCCCCCTCCCCACTCTCCTCTCTCCCTAGACACCCATCCCTCTCCTCATGGGCACAGCAGCTGCCAGGCTCTGTGTCATTCCAGGGACCTTCTGAGTATATACAAGCATGGATGGACTCCCCCCACCCTTTTTTTTTTTGCACAAAAGACAAACATATCACATGAATGCACCTATATTCATTCAGCAATACACTTTGAGGTCTTTCCGCCTTTAGTACGTAGAGACCGTCCGCATTTTCTTTTACAGCTGTGTTCCATTGCATGGATGTGCCAGAATTTATTTAACCTGTCCACTATTGATGGACATTTAGGGTAATTCCAAATTTTTATTATTATAAGCAATTCTGCAATAAACACTCTTGTTACATGCATGTGAGTATATCACAGGCCTTGGGTCCTCAGGCCCATGATCTACATTGCAAAGGTGGGGAAACTGAGGCCAGGGAGGATCAGGGGCCAATCTTAAGTCACCACCAGGATGGTGGGAGCTGAGATGGGCCCTTCATGCCATGAAAAGACCTGGTTGCTAGAGAGAGTCCGGGGCTGCTCAGGTGGGAGTCCCCAGGTTGATTCTCGGTTGAGGAGTTCAGGTCTGGTCTCAGCAGCCACAGGACATCCTACTGAAAATGGGGGCAGGAGGTAGATTCAGGGTGACCTGCAGTTGGGCTCACCTCTTGCCTCTGACCTCATCTCAGGGAACTGCCCCAGATCCAAGAGGAGGAAGAAGAAGAGGAAGAGGAGGAGGAGCTTGAGTAAGGCGCTTGTGCCCTGGCTAGCGGGTGACCCAGGTTACAGGGAGTGCTGTCTGGCTTCCGGGGTAGGAATGCCTTCCTTTCTTCTGTGCTGTGTGCCACTAGGCGCTGACCAGAGAGCTTGGGGGGAGCTGGGGGTTCCCCACTGTGCTCATAATGACCTGGGACTCATAGTACCCACTACTCAGCAACCCCCCACCCCCCACACTCATATATACAAACAAACACTAGCACACAGTCTCCATGAGGGTTGGAATTTTTGTCTGTCGTGTTCATTGCCCTGTTCCCAGAGCCTAGAACGTACCTGGTACAGTAGGCACCAAATAAATGTTGGTGGAATGCATGGATGGATGCACGAATGGACACACGCAGTGGGCTCCCCGTTCTTTCTGTAATTAACAAAGCCAAGGCACAGAGCTGTCTTTCTTCCTCACAGCCTCCCCAGTGGTTGGTCCCATGGTTGCCTCTGACGCCTTGTAAGCCTTCCTGGACTCTGCTCCAGTGGCTGGTTCTCCACCCACATCCATAAAGTTTTCAATATCCACACACACAGAAGAGTCCAGTTCAAGTAAAGGTTAAAAATGGAGATCAGAAACCACTAAAAGTTATAATCATCCAACATGCTAAAAGACTAGATCTTAATTATTCCAACCACTAAAAAAAAAAAAAAGGAAAATTAAGTGACACGACAGACATGCTAATTATCACTACAATGACAATCATACTATGTAAATGTTATATTAACGTTAACAAATCAACACGCTGTACATCTTACATTGACACAATGTTATGTGTCAAATAGATTTCAATTCTCAAAAAAAAGAGAAAGCACTAAGAGGGAGAAGACGTTTAGGCATGTGGGATGGATGGACGGAGAGGTGGAGACACGGGGGGACAAAGAGCACGTGTTGGGTGCCTGAGTCTGGAGTTAAGGGACGGGGAGGTTGGCCTGGAGACATAACGTCGGGAGTCTGGTGGTACAAATGGAATTGAAAGCCTAAAAACCAGGGGGCTGGAGGAGATGCCCAGAGAATGGGCGTGGCTAGAGGGGCCCAAAAGCCAGATTAGAGCCAAGGAGATGAGGAGGAACCAGAAATGGCTGAGGATGAACTGCCAGTGAGGGGATAGAGAGAGAGAGAAGAATGCAGGACCTGGAGGCCAAGTTGGAGAGTGTTTCAAAGAGGAGGGAGTGACCTGTGTGTCCAGGGAACAGTGACAATGTAGCTATGGGTCCTTCAGAGGCAGTGGGGCCACCTTGTAAAGGCCTTGAATTTGATTTCCTGGGAGCAGTGGGGAGCTGTTGTAGGTTTGCAAGCAAGGGAGTGACATAACCTGGCAGCTGCTTTGTGGAGAGACTGAGGCAGGGAAAGCAGTGAGGAGGCTATCATAATCAGGCCAGGCTGATTGAATGCATCCCTTTGCCCCACTCCCCTTGCATTATCCTGTCACTCTGCCTTCCAAGGTACCTCCTGGCCCACATCCTTTCTCCTGACCTGTCCCCTGGCCATAGCCTGGGGCAGGGTTGTACCATGAGTGTTAGGAACACAAGCTCCACTCCTCAGGGTGCTGGCCCAGAGCTTTCCCCTCCACATCTGTAAAATGGGCATAACAGTAACTGCCTGCAGAGTGGTCCTGGGACCAGCTGTGAAAATGGGTGCCCCACCAAAGGTCACTGATGTTCACATCCACACTGAGGTTCACTTTTAGTCCCAGCCAAGAAAGAGTTAAACCATGAGCCCAACACAGGATTTCAGGGCTGGAAGCCTGCTCAGTGTCATCTGCTTTTATCTTTCCATCCTTGGCAAGAGGCCGCACAGCTATTTGCCTCCCTCCGGTGATGGGGAGGTCACAACCTCTCAAAGGCTACGCATTCCGTCCACATGCACCTCTGACTTACAGAATTATTTCTTCCACCAAAACTAAATGCGCTTCCCTGTGATTTCTGTAACCCAGTCCTAATTCTGCCCTCTGGGCACCCCCAGAGCCAGGCTGCTCTCACTACTGGGTGACTGTCCTTCCCTCAGGTGAGGCCCTTTGAAGCTGCCTGGCTTCCTTGCGCAGCCTGCTTGCCCTCTGCTTTCCACCCGCCTCTGTATAGAATGCATAATGGAGGAGCTGTTCCCTCACCAAGCCTGTGTGCCCAGCACAAAGGCCTGGAAACCCCTCCCTGTGCCACTGCTCTTGAGCTGAAACACCTCTTGAAGGCCAGTGACCCAATGTGCTCACACATATGCACATGACTCACTACACGTGTTCCCTGTGCACAGTGCATATGCTCATACACACGCTTCTGCATTGCACATACACACAGACGCACATGCCATGTTAGGAACACACTTATACCCACACACAGCTTACATACACGCACAAGCACACACAACACACTCACACTCGTACACGTAGGTACACACTTGTACATACCCATACTGCACCCAGCACGCATGCTCATGCACACAAGCACATGCATACAATTCCCTGCAACGCTGCAGGCACACACATGCTCACACAAATGTTTACCCAGAGTTTCAAACTCAGGGAACTTACGGGCCCAGGGCCTCAGGTAGGGACGAGGGCACTCTGATAAGAGAGGGATCCCAGAGCCAGGGTCAGAGGGGTCTGGTGTGGGCAAGAAACTGGGCTGTCACTGGCATGGGAAGGGTGCTCTTGGCCTGCTTTGCAGAGGCACAGGGGTTACTGATGACGTGCTGGTCCTGGTAACGGGCAGATGGTCGCCTAGCGACCTGGTCTCTGCTGGCAACAGCTCAGCTTTTCCTAGCAACCGCAGCCTTTTGGTCCCCACCTGGCCTCCCTGGGGCATTTCTGCAGAGTTCCCTGAACATTCCCTCAATCTGATTAGAAGCAGGAAGGATCAGTGGCTCATCCACCACCCAAGGCACACTGGCTCCAGAGCCAGTCTCGCAGGCTCGGGGCTGGTGCTTTCCAAATTTTCCTCTTATATGCACTGTCCCAGGGCTTGGGATGAATGTCATCATCCCCAACTGAATACCTGCACTATGGGCGTCGGCAAAGACAGCGAGACCCAAGTAGGTGGCTGTTCCCCCTAAGGGCTCCCCTCTCCTTCTTTTGGGGTTGGGGTGCCAGGTGAAGAGTCTGCTGAAGGCAATAGTGAGGCACTTAATTTGGGGGTACAGCCTGCTGGGTGACTTGGGGGAGGAAAAGTGGGCTGGTAAACCCTTGCAAACTGGCAGCTGCTGCTGCTCCCTGCACCCTTAACTTGGAGAGCCAGGGGGTCCTCGAGGAGGCCCGCCTCAGCCGGTCTGATCCTACACTTGGAATTCCCTGGGGTTTGGAACCTTCCAGAAGTTGATGGTCCACTGCTTCTGGGCCAGGCAGGAGGGGCTCTTGGCAGGCACTAGGCACACTGCTGACCACAGTCAACATGACTAGGTACACAGGTCCCAGGACAGCCCCTGGTGGTGTTGACAGGGCCATAGTGGGGCTGGATAGGTGTCTCCCTAGCTGGAGATGTTTGTGAAAAACATTCCCCAATCCACGTGCGTGACTTGTAACCCTGAAGAAGACTGTCTCCTCTGGGATTAATAATAAGAAGAAAAACAATCATTATAACAGCTGCCATTTGATGAGCACCGTTTCCTATGCCAGACATGGTGCTAAGGCATATGTTAATAATCCCATTTCATAGATGAGAGAGCCTGGAGGGGCTCAGAGACAGCACTCTACGTGTCCAGGGGTGCCTGCCAACGAGGGCTGAGCTGGGCTTCTGAACTAGGGTAGGCTGGCTCCAAAGTGAACACTTGGTATCACAGACAAGGGAAGCTGTGGACCAGTCTTTAGAGACGGAGAATCGGGAATGGCCCCGGCCACGGGGAGTCTTTTTTGACTTTTCTGTGAGATTCCCAGTGGTCCTTCTGACCTCACCCAAATAAGGCAGGTTGGGCAAGTCCTACCCACTTAACAGGTGAGCAAACAGAGGCAGCCCAAGGGCTTCCTGGTGACTTGCCCATGGCCACACACAGTGACTTCCTGGCCTGATTCTGGAATGAGTGAGACCCAGAGAAGCCTCTGAGCAGACTGTGGGAGGCTCATTTCCTGGGCCTTTCGGCTCTGAGAACCCAAGAGGACGTAGTTCCCACAATACTTTTAGGGGCCCACAAGAAGGTTTTAATTTCTTTTAAGATCAGGCTCAAAAAACACAACTTTTCGATGGAAAAGAATGTTTTAATATATAATATTAACATATGAATCTTTATGTAAATGCAGTCACAAACTATAATTTTTAATGTATTTTTATGGAGAAAGTGGCCTGTGAAGGCTCAAGTGCCCAGGCGCCATGAAAGTCATAATGTGCCCTTGCTTTTGTGACTTGAATCTCTTTAAGGAAATCTGTTTCTTCTTGGGCAGGGTAGGGAACATGGCCCTGATAATTCAGGCCCCTCGTGATGGAAATCACCATACAATGAAGAGAAGTAAAGGTGCTTGGGTCCTCCAGACACTCGCCTCACTCTTCCATGTCACGTGGGGCTGTGTAGACATTCAGAGGCAGGCAGCGGAGTGTTAAGTATGTGGCCCTGGGGTCAGAGACACCTGTTTTATCCATGCATGCCTTGTACAGGCTGTGTGACCATGGACAGGCCACTGGACCTCTCTGAGCCTCTGATTTCTAAGCTAGAATGAGATTAGTCACAGCCCTGGTCTCTCAGGGTTATTTGGATGAAGATTCGGGGAGATATAGAGCATGCAAAGTGCGGAGCCCAGACCTTGGCACACAGCCCGTTGGAGCAGCTGTGACAATATGATCGCTGGTTGATTCTGCTCCCAGACTGCTGACTCCAAACTGACTGGGGCTGCCATCTGCCCCCATTGCCTCTCCCACCTTGGGAGGGCCAAGAAGAGGGGGGATGGTGAATCCAGGTTTTCTGGGTGGCAGACACCACAAATCACCCTCCGTGAGCCCCTTGTGACAGGGGTCAGAGGGGTGAGTGGGCTGCTAGAAAGCAGGATCTAATCGTAACTACAAAAATCAATTAGCCCCTGGTTCTGAGTCACCATTTTAACCAGAAGTTGCACCTGGGTATTTAAGGCCCCAATTTAGCCTGGATATCTACGTATAATACAGATAAATTAATTTGGATTAATTATCAGCATCTAAAGATCCGGAGAGTCTACATTTAGAACACATAGTTCAGGCTCCTCTTGAAAATTGGATCTGGCCACTGGGCCCTGTTCTAAGTGGAGTGGGGTTGCTAACTCAGGTGGGCACGGGTTCTCTGATTTGCCATAGCCCTCTCTGCTCCCTATAGCCTCACCCCTGATCTCTGTCACTGATGCATGCCTGGTCCAGGGGCCCCTGAAAGCGTTAGCAGTTGCAGCATGGTTTTGATCTCATGACATGGAAAGAAATGCAGGACCTGAGCTCAAGGTTTGGGTGGTATGCGACAATTTGCTGCGGGATTTTGGCCAGGTCAGTTCACATCTCTGGGCCTCACTTTTCTCCCTGCCCTGCCGGCATCACCAAGGTTGCCTGGAGTCTCTCAGAGAGGGAAATGCTGGACATATATTTTCAATGCTATTCAGTGCCCTTTGGTCACACCCCAGAGGGCAGTTCCTCAAACCATCCTCCATGCTTTCTTTGCATGTGATATTCCCCTTTCCTGGACGCCCTTCCTCACTTATTCCTCATAGTCAACTTATTATCCCTGAGGCCCAGCTCACAGACCACCTCCTCTGGCGGGCCCTCCTTCCTAGGCAGAATTGTGGCTGGGTCCTTCACAGCCCCTTGCTCCAGCACATCTCAGACTGGGAGATTGTTAGCAAGACATGGGGTCTGCCGCCTGCCCGATGCTGGGAGCCTCATGGGATGAGGACCTATTCTTGGGCATATTTGTGCTCCAGCTCCCAGCACAGAGCTAGCACTCAGCAGGGTTTAGGAAACATTTAACACCCCTAACTCTAGCCTTTTGCCCTTCCCCCTCTGGGTCACAGTGTCCTGCTGGATAGCTGTCTGGTGACACAGGCTGGTGAAGACCCAAACGGTGTAGGCGGGACTGAGCCCCGGAGGGCCTCATACCAGGTATGGAATTGCACCAGGCCTGGCACCCAGCTCCCTCTGAGACCTGGGCTGGTCTAAGCGGAAGGGCTGGGGCCTTGTCCAGGAGCTTCTCGGCTGGTGATAGCCCACCAGATAAAGGGAAACAGAGTGGTAGGTATTGCAAAGCCCTGCTCATACCAGGGGTCAAATGGTGTAAGCAAGGGCCTTGGGTGACACTGCTGTGGGTGGGGAGCAGCTGGACCTGCTCTTCAGTCCCATCATGGCTGTGTCATCCTGGACAAGGCACCTCCCCACTCCGGGCCTCTGTTTCACTCAGTGGCCACCTTTGTAAAATGGGGCTAAACCCCCTCCCCTGGGTGTTGCACATAGCTGTACACTGTGAAGTGCAGTGCCCGGTGGGGAAGGCTGTGAGGCTGCTTTAGTTGCTTTGTCCCCACTTACACAAAGCTGCATAAGACCCCACTGTTATATGCGACCTGGGAACCCTGTGTGCACCACCTTCTGCAGCGTGGAGACCACCTCCCTGGATGCCTCAGAAGGTGGGAAGGCAGGGTCTGGCCGGCTGGGCAGGTAAGGAGTAGACTTGGGGCTCAGGGGGACTCCTGAAGGCAGATCTCCTGACAGGGGCTGGGCTGGATGAGGGCTAGGCAGGGGCTTGATGGTCACAGCTCTGTTTCCACTTTATCTTTTGCAGGAGGAGGCCGTGGCCACCAGCTCAGAAGGTAGGTGTGTGGTCGTAGTGGTGGTGGTGGGGTTACAGAATGGCCAGGATGCTTTCAGGCTGGGGGCAGCCTAGGCACAGGGCCACATCACCTCCTATTCCTCCATCTCCACCCTCCCTCCATTCCTCCACCTGCCCCAGCCTCAGGCAAACCCATCCTCTGGGTCTTGGGCTACATTATCAGCGCCTGGTGATATATTTCAAAGGCCCCAAGGGAATTACACTGAGGCCCCAGGATTCCAGCAGGCCTGGGGAAACCCTGCTCCCAGCCAACCCTTCCTGCCACCTCCCTCACTGGGAACACAGCTTTCTGGGCTACCAGCCAGCAGTGGTTTGCCTCAAATGTAATCTATCTGAGTGAAAATTGGGGCCAGAGCTTGCTAAGGACATGTTCTAGACTCCACATGTCTGGATGAGCTTTTTCTTACTGCTAAGAGCTCCAGGCTGGACCCAGCACATGCACTTTGTTATTATTTATCACTGCCTCCCACCCCGAGACCCCAGGCACTGGAGGACACCTGGACCCTGAGTAAGGAAGCCGCAGTGGCACCGTGATGCTTATGTTCCAGCCAGCCAGGGGAGCCAGGTGTCCTAACCCCGGTGTCCTGAGCTTGTACCCTATCTGGTCTTTGAAAACCATCCTATGTCAATTTCAACATGTATCTTAGTAAGAAACCTACTAAGTCTGCACCCACATAGATAGATAAGGCCAGGCTCACCTGGGTGCAGGCTCGGGTTCCATGGGGCTGTCTCCGCCCCTTCCCCAGGTCATTTGGAAACAGGTGGTCTGGGAACCACACTCTGAGAAACACTGCACGGCCATTTGTCTGCCGCTACTCAGAAGTGTGGATCTAGAACCAGCAGCTTTGGTGTCACTGGGAGCTGGTTGGCAATGCAGAACCCCAGGCCCCACCCAGATCTGCTGACCCTGAATCGGCATTGCAACAAGATCCTTGGGATCTGCCTGCGCTTAGTGTTTGAGTGGTGATGGCTTTGAGCCCTGGTTCTTAAACATGACTACTGCATATCAGAATCATTTAGGGATATTAAAATTCGTGGTGTCCAGCCTGACCCCAGACCATTAAATCAGAATCTCTGGGCTAGGCCTCAGCATCAGACATTTCCAAATCTTCCCAGCTGATTCAGTATGCAGCCCAGTTGGGAACCAGGGCCCAAGGAAAAGTTACTGCTTCTGTTGGGAATGAAATTAATTGAGCTCCAGGGTTTCTTTGGAATGGAAAATCCTACTAGGCTAAGAATGTTTGAGTCCTGAGTCTGTGAGTCTAAGGCCTGAGGAGTTCCGGGTTCTTTGATTCTGATTTTTTGAGTCTGAGGTGGGAAATGCTACTGATGGTTTGTTAGCAGAGAGAGCACAAGGAATTGGGGGGCTCTGGTCATAGGGCAGACCAGCCACATGACATGGTGGTGTGCTCGCCATTAAACTCCAGGGACAAGAGTGTTGCTCCAGACTTTGGGTGTGGCGGCTGCAAGCGCAGGCGGGCACCGGGCTGGAGCGCCACCTCCTTGCCTCCCCCAACTCTGTGCTCCTCTGTGCAGTCCCCAGGGTCACGCCTCTGCCTGAGACCCCCTGGTCCCAGCACCATGGCTAAACCAGGCCAGGATACGGAGCTGAATCGCCTGGTCCAGGACCAGCTGCCTGGCCAGGTGGCCCCCAGCCTTGCCCCCCCAAACCTGGTGGACCACCTCCCCAATGTGCCCAGCTACCGCTCCCCAATCACCCGCATCCCTGTCCTCATCTCCCGGAGGACGGCCTTGTCCAACTCCAGCTTCGCCAAGGAGACCAGGAGCTCCGTCCGTCGCCTAGGTAGTGTGATCTTACCCACCCAGCATGCTTGCGCCGTGTGACATGCTTTGCATGGCTTGGGCTTTTACCCGCATGGGTGCCATGGTCATGGTGTGGGACCCCTAGTTGGGCTCATGGAAAACCACCTCTTCTTCCTCTGCTGATCAATGCCTTCATCGTGCTTTGTGGGGTATTAGTTCCATTCTCTCTGTGCCTAAAATTCCACAGTTAGCAATTAATCTCTTTGGGTTAAACATTGCTTTCTGCAGATCATCATTTTTTATACAAGTAGTCACTCCTACCCTGGTTTAAACAAGTCACTCAGATCTCCAGGTCAGGAGGCTTGGGGTGGGGAGCTGGGCAGGGGAACAGTGGAGGGGAATGGAGCAGAAGAGGAATGTGGAGGTTCATTGCAGCCAGAAACTTCTGACCTTGCGAGTTTGCTGGGAGCTGGAATTTCTGAGGACTACTGCTATCTGCCCTGAGAATTCCATTTCAGGAAAGGAGTGGCCCCCAGGTGCTGACAGGCAGACCAGGAGAAGAAACATCCTCAGGGGCCAGTGCAGCCTGCCTGGATCCTTTTAATTGTGACAAGGTTCCCGCAGTGGCCTTAGGTCTCCTGCTGCTTGCTGCCTGATGACAAAGTGCTCAGGGACATACTGGTGCCTCTGGGCTAACCCCTGTCACTTTCTTCCTTACTCAAGCCAGACCTGCCCACTTTCCCTTTTGATTTGTTTTTGGTTTTGGATGACACTGGGCAAGGTTGCCTCAGATCAGTAAGCAGTTAGAACTGAACATTTCATGAGACGAGATCCACTGTTGTCCTGCTCCTCTTTCTGGCTTGGCATGGGCACAGGTGGCACACGGCCATCCCCACTATAAAGGAGGACAGACACCCAGGGTCAGTCTTCAGGGCAAGCCTGAAATCCACTCACTCCAAAGCGTCCTCTGACTTGCTGCCCACGTTTCATCCCTCAATTTGTGCTATAGTCTGTACCAACTCACTTTTATTTGCTTACTATTTTTCTTTCAATGGATTCACTTTTTAAATTTAATTCAGTGTATTTAAACAAGAAACTTGACATTGCCATTAAAATGGGAAACCAGCACGGCTTGCTATAAATAGAAGGCAAAAGTACAAATAACCACAAATACACTGAAAACAAAGTCGTGTTGTTAGTTTCTAGTGAAATATGGCGGCAGCCGGAGGCTCCCAGCTGAAGACTGCTCTCTTAGCCACAGACGGAATTGAGGGTGAGCCAGAGAGGTGTTCAGGCCACGGCAGGACCCGCCCGAGCCTCCCTCTCTGTGCCCTCAGGATCTAGAGAAAGTTGAAATGGGAGGGATATTTTAATTAGATGTCGTGCTTTACCTGGTCTGTGCCATCTAAAGTTATTGTGTGTCATCCCTGATCCTAGGGAGCCCCACACTTTGAAAAATATTCCAGAGACACATTGGGACAGTGGACGGAGCTGGCTGTGGTGTGACACTCAATGATTTTAGATGCTGAAGACAAGGCAATGACAATGCATAGTAAGAACATTATCCCCATTTCATGATGCTGCTTGGCACCGAGTGAGGTTTTGTTTAAACAGGCACTTCTGTGTGTGCTGGTCCCCCAACCTCAGGATAGGATAAGAGTTTAAACTCCAGCCAGGGTGCCTGGGTCCAAACCCTGCCCCTGCTGCAGGTTTCTTAACCTCTCTGTGCTTCCTTTTCCTTTTCTACAAAACGGGGACAACAAAGCAATAACCTCACAGGGTGGCCGCGAGGAGTAAAAGAATGAATATAGACACAGCCCTTATAGTTTAGTAAAACAGATGCCTGACAGGCACATAGGAAGTGCTTAACAGTAAATAGTATTATTCTCTAAACCAATTTAATCATGACCGTTATTCTTTATGTTCTTAATAATATTATTGTTGTTCTATAAATCAATATAATATCAACCAACATACTTTCTACTATGAGTTCTCACTCCGCCAAGTTAGTAGGATATGAAACACCAGGCTTAGGCGTTTTCTCTCCTCCCCTGGGCCAATCGAGTTTGTAGGGTCTTACTCAGGGGGCGGGGGAGCATCTGCCCCTTGCAGGCTCCCTGAGACAGACTGGATGGGGAGGCCAGGGCACTTTCTGCTGCCTGGGGGGCACTCTGGGGGCACTCTGGGGCCCTGAGCACTTTGAGAGTCCTGGCTGACTCCATGCCTGTCTCCTGCACCTCCAGCTCCCCTCTCCAGGTCTGCCAGAAAGCAGAGTGAGGTCCCCTCTGCTCAAGCTCCCTCCTGCTTTCCGTAGCCTGGGACATCTCTTGTTAGTCTGGCAAAACTTCTTCAGTTTTTAAAAACTTCTCAGTTCCTGCTCATCCTCTTCCCCTGAGATCTTAGGGCCTAGTAAAACAAATGCCCCAAAGTCTCGCGGCCTGCTTAGATTCTCTCCACCAAGCTCCACAAAGTGCTGGCTTTCCCGATGGTGGCCGTTAAAAAAAATGTCACTTAGGACATCTTAACGAGGTGGCAGTGGTAGCATCTGCTCTTCAAGCTTTGCTATGCTGCCCATGGACCACAAGAAGAAAAAAGATGCCGAAAAGTCAGCCAAGAAAGACCAAACCCCAGTGAACAAATCTGGTGGCAAAGCCAGAAAGAAGACGTGGTCCAAAGACAACGTGCGGGACAAGCTCAGTAACCTGGTCTTGTTTGACAAAGTGACATACGACACACTCTGTAAGGAAGTTCCCAACAATAAGCTTACAGCCCCAGCTGCTGTCTCTAAGAGACTGGAGAACCAGCTCCCTTCGGCCAGATCGCATCAGGAGCTCCTTAGTACAGCACATATTAAACTAGTTTCAAAGCACAGAGCTCAAGTAATTTCCACAAGAAGCACCAAGGGTGGAGATGCCCCAGCCGCTGGTGAGGATGCGTGAACAACAGGTCCCGCCATCTGTACATTTTGAAAACAGAAATTATTAAAGAAAAAAAATAAAAGCCACATATCCCAGTGTTTCAAAATGCTTCCCTCCCCCATTTTGGGGATGTGCGCCTGCCTTGCTGGTGCCCAGGCCTGCACCTGGCTGCTATGGGGTTGTCCTGCCCAGCTGTGCCTGGGGAGTCGGGGCACCATCTCAGCCTCTCAGCATCCTCTGAACTCCGCCTCGGGGGTCCACAGTCCCTGGGGAAGATAACGAAGCCTGAAGTAGGGCCACACCCAGGCTTTGCAGGGAGGACCCGATTCTTGAGATGGTAGATGTGGCACCGGGCCTCTCACAGGTTGGGAGAGGGACTGGGCTCATGAATCTTGGGGGGCTCCTGGCATGTACAAAAACAAAGAAGTACCAAAATGGGTACCCGAACACGGGTAACACGCACTACAAAGACAAGTGTTACTCTTGACTGGAGGAAACTTCCAAATGTCTCCACTGGAGGCCCTTGACGAGTGTGAGGCCATGTACCTTCTTGCCCCTCACTTCCCATTCCTCTACCTCGCGATGGGGAAACTGAGGCCCAGAGAGGGGAAGCAGTGGATCCAGGTTACGCTAGGCCAGGCCCTGGGACTGGGCCCCCCCAGGCTCCCCATGCCCTCTCTGAGGACCCCCGGGCTACCTTCCTCCGCCAACCTTCGGTCCCTGATGCTTCTCCCGGCCCAGGGAATCCAGGTGGGGTTTTGGAGAGCAGGACTCCAGGCTGTCCAGGAGCTCCGGTGGCTTCTGTGGCGTCGTGGCTTTCTTTGTGGTTCCTGGACTGGTGGCTGGGGTGACATGGCCCTCAGAGGCCCCTGGGCTCTGAATTCTTGCGCCCCCTGCATGGAGCTCACCTGTGGGCCCCCCTGGGAGGTGAGGCTGGCAGAGGACGCTCCAAACATTTTTTCCTGTGGCTTTCTTGAAGAACACCAAGGCCCCTGGGACCTGGCTTCTCTCTCTCTCCCTCTCTCTGACCGTCCTGTCCTTCTTCTCCCCAAGTGCCTGCCACAAAAGAGCACCCGGAAGTGCAGGTGGAATATGCGGGTGCTGACAGCCACCCGCTCATCGTGGAGGACAACCCACCCTCACCCCAGCGGCCACCACCTTCTCCTGCCAAAGTCGACACCCTCACGGTCCCGGGATCCACTGAGGGGACCCACAGGTTGCCTTTTATGCTCTTCCTGGACTTTTCACAGCACTGTGCCACCTGCCCATTTGGCAGATGAGGAGACTGAGGCCAGAGAGGGGAAGCAGCCGGCCCAAGGTCACTCAGCGAGTTGGTGTTAGAACGGGGACTATGCCCCCCTTTCCTGGTTCTCCTAATTCCCGGCGTAGGGCTCTATAAAGCACTGTCCAGAGAAACCCTGTCCCAGACACCCTCAACTGTATGTTAGAAGTGGGTAATAGATGTGACAAGGCTAACTTCTACCACCACCCCCATTTTATTATTGAATAATACAATGGAAATACCAAAGAACGCTAGAAAAATAATCATCTATAGTCCCATCACACTAGACGGTATTTTTATTTTTCTGTTTTCTCTTTCATACCTTGTTTATGGGCCCATGCTTTTGTGTGGTTTTAATTAAGGGAGTGATTTGATTCGCATCTCATTTGAGACCACATCTCAGTCATTCAGTGACCCCTTTCCCATATTGCTAGCCTGTCTCCTTAACGTACATTTATGATTGTGTGACACTCCTCCAGTTCCATGTGCCAAAATGGACTTAAATCCCCTCTTATTGGTCACTGTCCGTAACGCTGTGAACATCTCATCTCTTTGGTCTTCTGCTCCCTGTCCTTCGGCTCCTTTCTCAACAGTGGGGCTCTTGGTCAAGGGTGCCCACATTTTTATGCTTCTTGAGATAAATGTGTTGCTGCGTGGTTAGCGTCGGTTTTGGACAACATGAGTCAGGTCCTGCCTACAACTGTAGGCAAACTGTGAAGTGCCGCACAGCGCTTTGTGAATAACTATATTTAAACTACAGGGGAGCTACCAGTGCTTCTCCTGCACTGGCTGGATTGAGAGATGATTCTTTTTTCTTGATTAATTTTTGCTCCCATCCATGAGCCCTTGAGCAATTTCTCAGAGGAGGTCAGGAGCCCTGCCAGAATGGAGATGGTTAGATGTGATGAGCAGGGGGCTCTCAGATTCTTCACTTCTCAGATAGGGAACCTGGGGCTCCAGGTGGGGATGGGCTTGTCCCAGGTCACACCATCAACTAGAAGCTGGACTGCACGGCCCCTGGACAGTTACTAGTGCACATCTCTGCAAAGGGAGAGAGGCTAGCATCCAGGAGATGGAATGAGAGCTCTCAGGTCTTCATGGTAGCTGAGAGAGGGTGGTGTGATAGAGAATGGAGTGGGGTGAGCTGGGGAGGGCAGAGACTTTAGACTAGGGGTGGGGGGTGGGGGGAAAGGGAGAAGGACATTTAAGCTGAGGCCTGACTGAGTGGTAAGTATCTCATTGAATTGGGCAGATTTAGTCCCATTTTACAGAATGGGAAACTGAGGTGGCTCAGAGAGTTTAAGTAACTTGCCAAGGTCACACACTGGTAAGAGGTGGGGCTGGATGCAAACTCAGGTTTGCCCGAGACCAAGTCAATGCTATTGCTTTTATGCTAGGTCATTGAACAGATGTGGACACTGAGGTCCATAGAGTGGCTGTGTCCCTCCCTTCTCCCTTTTTGTCTCCCTGCAGGCAAGTGATGTCCCTGAGGCAGCACCATCCCCCACCCAGGAATTGGCTCTGAGAGATCTGCAGGGGTCAAAATTGGCTCACTGCCCCCTGGGGCCCCTGCCCTTGCTGAAGGCCCCTCCATGTCTGTGTCTTGCAGGAAGAGGCTACCCTCCCAAGAAGAAGAAGCTGAAGAGCTAAAGGTGCCATCACCAGCTGAGACCCCTGTGGTCGCCTGGTCGGATACCCCCACCCCGCAGGGCTCTGAGTGAGTGGGGACCCCGTCTGGGGTCTCAGGGAGTCAGAAGGCTGGGTGGGAATGGGTGGGTGAGAGGAGGGACTGGTGAGGGCAGGGAGTGGGACATGGATGTTTTCAGAACCACAAGTCAGGGCTGGGTCTCCTGCCAAGGCTGCTCCTGGCTGGCCTGGGAGTTCTGCAAAATCTACGGAAAGGGCTCGCCCTCTAGATCCAGCTGTGTCCATGAACTGCAGTGCTTGGGGGAGGAAGCATCTCTGCAGGGGCTCTGTTGTAAAGGAGAGGCTGAGGGGAGCCACCTGGCAGAGGTTGGCTCCTGGCACTGAACCCCTGAAAGAGTGAGCAGGGAGAGGAAGGACCATGAGGATCTCCAGGGGGTCCCAATCTGGGGAGCTTGTTAAAAATACAGACTCCCAGGCCCCACCCAGACCTGCTGGATCAGAAACTCAGGCAGTGGGCCCTGGGGACTCCATCTTTACAAGCTCCCCAGGTGATTTGATGCAGCTGGTCTGTGGAACAATGTTTAGAGGTCACTGCGAGGGCATTCGGACCTGTGTCTCTGACATATAACTGTCCCAAGGGCTGGGCCAATGGGAGATGTTTTCCTGAAGAGTCTGAGTAGCTGAGTTGATGATGAGTCCTCTGGTGTGGGGTCTCCATCCTGCTCCCAGCCACACTCCTGGAGCAGCCACAGGAGATACTGGGCTTTTCTTCCGGTCTTTTCTTTCTATATATAAATTTTGGAATTTATGTTTAACAGAGTTATGGAAAGTTCAGAAAAGTTAAAGAAGCAGGGAAAAAAATCTCACCCCAAATCTCACCCATACTCCAGTGGCCTGTTTTATCATACAGTGGACTCACATCTGATGCACAGTGCTTTGTGAATAACTATATTTAAACTGATGCAGTAGGATAGAGATAGGGTTAGGGCTGAATATCAGAAAATAAGGCAGAAATCAGTCCTAATGATCAAAGTTACCCTTGAAAGCTCTGAAGGAGGTGAACAGGGGACCCATGTATTAACTAGGTAGGTTAATCTGCTGTAACAAATAGACCCCAAAGATTCGGTGGCTTAAGGAACAAGATGTCACATATGTCATAGTCATGTCACTAGCTGAGTGTTTCATGTCAGTGGAAGGCTCTGCTCCATGCCGTTGTTTAGGGACCCAGCTGACAGAGGCTCTGCCACCTTCATATGGCTCCCGAGGTCCTGCTGGTCACCTAGAAAGGGAGAACACCAGGCCGCCCTTGGATGAGGAGGCCTGGAGTAGCATGTAGTATGTCTACTCACTTTCCACTGGTGAGAGCTCCTGTGGCTACACCCAGGAAACCTAGTCACTGGCTGGGCTTCTACATCTCAGTGGCTACTCCCCACGGAGCTAACGGATGTGGGTGACAGCTCGTGTCTCCACCACACCCAAGCTCCATCGCTCATTGGGACCCTCACATTGGTTGTTTCCAGCCTGGCTTCCTCATCTGAGCACAAGAGGAGTAGCTGGCTTGAGTTTCGGTGACTCAAAGTATGAAAAAAAAAGACAGATCTGAAAACACCAGTATTACACTCAGCTCTGCGAGATGACACCAGTGAGGCCACTCAGAGGAGAGCCCATTCACAAGGCCCGTGTCAACTCACTCAACCACCTCATGCTGTGTGGGGTGTCTGGCAGACTGTCGTGTCTGTCTGTCTGTTTCTCTATCTCTCTCTTTCTCACTTGGAGTGCATACGATTTAAATTCCTATACGTTAAGAGGATATATTATATAATGTATCTGCACTATTTTTTCCAACAGCTATTTCTGAAGCCTAAAAAACTAGCCCTGTCCCCTCTCCAATCTGACCCAGACACGTATCTCATGTGAACCCCAAATTGGAACTAACAGCCCTGAGCTGAGTTTCCTCCTAAATCACAAGTGGAATCAAAGATTTTTCAGAGCTGCCCATCTGAATCAGTGCTTCCGTGGTACATTTTCTAAAAGCTGGGTCCCCGAGGGTTATTCAGACTGAATCTCCTCCTAGGAGATGTGAAAGCAGGTTTAACAAAAACTGGGGCAGGAGTCACCTCCTTCAGGCCAGGTGGGACACAGATGCTGTTCCGCTCCTCGCTGGGGGCATGGGGTTCCATCCCGCTCAGCCCGCTCACCTTTCGGGGGTGCTTCCAGTAGCCAGGACCGGGCATCGTCCACGGCCAGCCAGAACAGTGCCATCATCAACGACCGGCTGCAGGAGCTGGTGAAGCTTTTCAAGGAGCGGACGGAGAAGGTGAAAGAGAAGCTCATCGACCCCGATGTCACCTCCGACGAGGAGAGCCCTAAGCCCTGTGAGTCCAGAGCTGAGGATGGTCCGTCCAGCCAGGAGTGGGATGGGGACCCTAACGCCGCTGTCAACTCATGGTGAGGGTGGGCCCTCAAGGAAATGGTTGGGGTGCTTGAGATAACCCCAGACCCCCATTCTCTGGATTTTGGGGTCCCATATGTATAGGCTTAACAATAGAACCAGGGTGGGAAGAAGGCCAAATCTCTGCCCAATGATCCAATTGTACTTGGCTCCCCCTCTCACAGGACAAGTACCCCCATTGACCCTTCTGCCTTTTTCCCACTGGCCGGCAGGTGGTCCACCCTGGGATGTATCTCATGGTCTTACACTCAGATGGTATCCATAACCCACTCTGGAACTAGACAGCTTTATTTTTCAGAGGCCTCAGTTGCAATATTCTTATAAGGCTACCTGAAAGCTTTCTGCTTTCAAGGTATCAAGAGGAAATAAGAAACATGCTCTGTTATCAGGGGCAGGGGAGGGGTGGGAGTGTCTAGGGCTTTTCGAAGGAGAACCATGCTTTAGAACTTATGAGGCTAATAATGAACCTAGCAGAGCCTGACTTCACAATCCTAAAGCTAGAAACATAGCCATACTGAACCTATAAGAGCCAGCCTTTAGGTCACCAGCATTACCCCAGATTCACAGGGAGGCTGAGATCCCATTCAGCATCTTGTTTTAGAGATTAAGGAGCTGAGATTTCTGTGCTGAGAAAGCTAGAGTGATGTTTCCCTAATTTCTGACCCTGGGTGACAGAAATCCTGGGTATGAAATGCTCCCAGCCCTTCAGAGGGGACCAAAGAGGTCCAAACACAGACACACAAGCAGACACTTAACTGAAACATCCAACTTGCCCAGAAACACTTCATTTTGGGCAGTTCCAGATTGCTAGCTGGTAAGAGTTTGTAGACAGGCGCTCAGGTCGCTCTTAGTGAAGGAGCTCTGGGGTTTGCTCCAGGAGCGCACCCTGGTTTCTGCACACAGAGCTTGTAGCAGGTTGTGGGATGGTGCCAGGGTCTCCTCAGCCCCAGGTCCAGGGTCTGTAGTTGGGCGCCTTCTCTCTGCATCCTCTACCTGAGCCTCAGAGCTGGGTCGATGGTCACCAGTGTTATCTTATAGCCCCAGCCAAGAAAGCCCCAGAGCCGGCCCCGGACACAAAGCCGGCTGCGGTGCGGCCCGTGGAGGAAGAGCACTATTGTGACATGCTCTGCTGCAAGTTCAAAAGCCGCCCCTGGAAGAAGCACCAGTTCCCCCAGAGCATCGACCCGCTGACCAGTGAGTGCTGGGTGGGCAATGCTACCACGTAATATGAGAGGGCAAGAAGTTGGGGGGAATGGAGGGAGGAGTGCAAGAGGTGGGCTCAGAAGCCATGGGCATCCAAGGTTCCTGACCTAAAAAGCAAACAAACAGAAAATCCCTGGAATAGGAACATAAGATCCAATCCATCTTATAGACAAGGAAACTAAGACACAGAGACGTTAACGAGCCTAAAGACATAACCATTTAGTGGCAGACCCAGGACTTCTGTCCCTTGGCAAAGTCTTTGTATCCTGCACTTGCTGGCTCCTTCTTCGAGCTGCTGCTCTGAGCAGAAGAGGGAAGAAGTTGTTCCAAAATCTAAAGTGAATTCCCTCTTACTTCCCATTTAGTCCATTTTGTATTCCTCGGGAATAACAACCTTTCATATGTGCACAGCACTTTACAGTTTACAAAAGATCTCCCTGACTTTCTTTTCTGATCTCCCCTTGTGACTTCTCTGAGGAGAGCAGGGCAGGTGCCAGAGGAGGGCTTTCCTAAGTTTACTCAAGAAGTCATTTGGGGGACAGAGGGTGTCCACTGGGCCTCTAAAATGACCAGGTGTCCCAAAGGTATCCATCCATCCATCCATCCATCCATCCATCCATCCATCCATCCATCTGTATATCCATCTATCTATCTTCTAAGCATATTTACTATTGTGTAAGTAAGCCTTTCCTACCAAGGCAGGAAATAGATTTTTGGAAGAATTTCAACAAGAATGAAAGCAAAGGGCTTTTCTAGTTAGCCATTACCCAATAATGCCCCCATATCCCCTTGTTAGAATACTCTGATTTATTAGGGCCTAGCAGTGATATG